TTCGCCAAGCGGGTTCAGGCCAAGAAGGAACGCGTGGCTAAGAACGAGCTGAACCGGCTACGGAACCTGGCCCGAGCGCACAAGGTCCAGATGCCCAGCTCGGCCGGCCTGCACCCTACGGGACACCAGAGTAAGGAGGAGCTGGGCCGCGCCATGCACGTAGCCAAGGTCTCCACCGCTTCGGTGGGGCGCTTCCAGGAGAGCCTGCCCAAGGAGAAGGCACCCCGGGGCACCGGCAAGAAGAGGAAATTTCAGCCCCTCTTTGGGGACTTTGCAGCGGAGAAAAAGAACCAGTTGGAGCTACTTCGAGTAATGAACAGTAAGAAGCCTCAGCTGGACGTGACGAGGGCCACCAACATGCAGATGAGGGAGGAGGACCAAGAAGCTGCTGCCAAGAGGAGGAAAATGGGCCAGAAGGGCAAGAGAAAAGGCGGACCCCCGGGCCAGGGAAAGAAGAGGAAAGGCAGCTTTGGAGGCCAGAAGCATTCCAGGCCTCCTGCTTTAAGTGGCAAGAAGAAAGGAGTGCCAAGGTGAGAAGAGGAGGAAGTAGTTTTCTTCCCACTGGACTGTCTGTACTAAGGGTTAAGTTGTGCACAGTGCAGGCCACTGCCCCCGTTGAACTTGAGATTGAAGGGACAGGTTTGCCTCCCTTCAGGACAGTCAGTACTGGACTACGAATTAATTCTTGACTTTGGATCAGATTTCTGGATATAGTGATTGGTTTCAGTATGTTTGCATTGTTTTGTAACAAAGCTTGTAAATTTATCAAAGCAGGGAGAATGGAGAAAACCAAGTCTACCTGTGTTTTACAAGTGTTGTAAACATTACTTTAATAAAAAGTATGCCAGTAAAAAGTTTCTCTGTGTAGCCCTGGCTGTCTCTTATCAAACCATTACTGCAGGAATGGAGAGATGGCCCAGTTGTTAAAAGCAAATCCTGCTTTTGCAGAGGACCTGAGTTCTGTCTCAGCTCACAATCACCTGTAGTTCTGGCTCCAGGGGATACAAATGGCTCTTCTGGCCTCTGAGGACACATACACTCATGTGCCCTCACACATACTCACACAACGTAAAATATTTAAATTTTTTAAGCTTTTTTTGGGGGGGGTGGGAGTCAAGACAGGGTTTCTTTTTTGTTTTTGTTTTTTTTGTTTTGTTTTGTTTTTCGAGACAGGGTTTCTCTGTATTGTTTTGGAGCCTGTCCTGGAACTAGACCAGAGATCAGCCTACCTCTGCCTCCCAAGTGCTGGGACTAAAGGTGTGCTCCACCACCGCCCGGCATTTAAATATACTTAATGGACATGGTGCCTGGACATTACAGGCACTTGCCTGTAATCCTAGAACTTTGAAGGTGCAAACAAGATACAAAGTTTAAGGTCATCCTTGGCTACATAGCAAGTTCTAGGTGAACCTGGGCTCCTTAAGAACCCAGGGTAGAAAGTGTGGGGGTAGAAGGAGGAGGTGGAGAAGAGGAGAGGAGGGAAGGTGACAACAGAGGAGGGGAAGAGAGGGGGAACCAGGAATCTAGCATGAGGCTGGACTTAGCAGGTTGGAGGTGAATTATAATAATTGTGCTATGACTTCAAAAGCAGGTTACAATGGGCTTATGAGCAGAGAGCTAGCAGCCGGCTCAGGGAGAAGAAATGAAACGATTAAAAGTCAGCCTCAGAGCAAATACTAAGAACCACCTTGAAGTGATGCTCTTCCAGCTCCTGTGGACATTTCCTATGGATTATTTTTGCTTTCTTTTGTTTGTGTGTGTGTGTGTCACATTTGTGCTCGTATGCACAATCTTGTGGATTTGTCCCCCTGAGTGTAGTCACCAAAGGTCAACATTGGATGTCTCCTCATCATTCTCCACCTTATTCTTTGAGACAAGGTCTCTCACTAAATCTAGAGCTCATCAGTAATGGCTAGACTGACCAGCCAATGAGAACCAGGTCCCAGCCGCTTGTAATTGGTCAGTTCTGGATTGGATATGTGGTAACACATGTTGCCACACCCAGAGTTTTTTGTTTTGTTTTGTTTTGTTTTTGTGGTGATGGGGACCTGAACTCCAGTCTTCAACTTAAACAGCAAGTGCTTTGATCTCCCTGTATAGACCAGCTGGTCTCAGATTTGAGGTGATTCTCCCACCACCTCTGTCTCCAGAGTACTAAGACTACAGACACATTGCCCAACTCTTTGTTTGTTTGTTTGTTTTTCGAGACAGGGTTTCTCTGTGTAGCTTTGGAGCCTATTCTGGCACTCTCTCTGGAAACCAGTCTGGCCTTGAACTCACAGAGATCCACCTACCTCTGCCTCCCGAGTGCTGGGATTAAAGGCGTGCGCCACCATTGCCCCACTCCCATTGCCCAACTCTTAGTTTGATCCTGGAAACATATTTTTCTCTTCAGCACCATATCTTATCTAGTCTTAGAGAGTTCAGGGTTCATAATAAAATTCTTCCAGTGGGTTCTGAGGGACGTAGCCTAGCATGTAGCTCCATCCTAGGGGGATGAAGTATGTGCAAAGCCCTAGAAAATCATCAAACCTGTCCTTTCTTCCGAAACATATCTTTCCAGTGAGCTGACCTTTGCATCTATGACCTCCTCACCTGCTCTCATAGCCTGTGGCATTTAAACACCTTATGACCCAGTCACACAAATACACCACACACACACACACACTATCTACCTACACATAAATGAAATGAAACAACTATATAATACTTACCCTTGCTACATGTATTACACTATGTTCTGTTTAGAGATGCTGATTGCAACCCACTGGTATAACTGAATGCGTCACCATTGGGCCTTGTCTCTCAATTTGGAAACCATTGTCCTGACTTTGCATTATTTTACCCTGGATTTGGTTATTTTGGTGGTGTGTATAAAAATGGCCCCCTGCCTGGTGTTGGTTGTGCACACCTTTAATCTCAGCACTCAGGAGGCAGAGGCAGAGGCAGGCAGGAACTCTCTGTGAGTTCCAGGCCAGCCTGGTTTACAGAGCGAGTTCCAGGACAGCCTCCAAAGCCACAGAGAAACCCTGTCTAGAAAAACAAAAAAACAAACAAAACAAAACAAAAAAATGGCCCCCATAGGCTCATAGGGAGTGGCACTATTAGGAGATGTGGCTTGTTGGAGTGGGTGTGGCTTTGTTGGAAGAAGTGTGTCTTTTGGGGGGTGGGCTCTGAGGTCTCAGAAGCTCCAGCCAGGTCTAGTGGCATTCACTTCCTGCTGCCTGCAGGATGTAGAACCCTCAGCTCCTTCTCCAGCACTGTTTCTGCCTGTGTGCCACCATGCTGCCCACCATGACGACAATAGACTAAACCTCTGAACTGTAAGCCAGCCCCAATCAAATGTTTTCCTCTTTATAGGAGTTGCTGTGGTCATGGTGTCTCTTCACAGCAGTAAAACCCTAAGGCAGATATCAAAACGTGAGGTGGAACTGGCAATGAAGAGCGAAATAAATCAGCCAGCAAGGTAGGACAAAGAGCTCCAAGTGTCACACTCTCTGATCTCTCTTCATCATTCAAACTCATTCCCTCATCTGCCTGTCTCCACTCGACCCAAATGCCCTGTTCGTCGGCCTCACCACACTCTGCCTAACTCTTGCCTCCTCATAGTAAGACCCCATCTCAAAACAGGGCTTGGGAGGAAGCTGACCAAAGCTAAGAGGTAGAGCATGTCTGCCTAGCATGTTCAAGGCTGCATCTCTTGCACTGAGAATGCCAGAAAAGGAAGGAAGGAAGGAAGAAAAGAGAGAGGAGACAGGAAGGGAAGTGGGAGAGAAGCTTTGCAAAATGCCTATCACAGAAAAGCCAGACATTGCCTAGTGTGGTGGTGCACACCTTTAATCCCAGCACTTGAGAGGCAGAGGCAGGCAGATCTCCGTGAGTTGGAGGCCAGCCTGGTCTACAGAGTGAGTTCCATGACAGTTACACCAAGAAACTCTGTCTTGAAAAAGAAAAGCCAGCCATGTGATGTATGCCTGTAACACCAGCCCTGGAGAGGCTGAGACAAGAGGTCTGAACATGAGTTGGAAGCCAGCCTAGACTACATAGCAAGACTCTGTCTTGAAAACCAAACAAAGGGCTGGAGAGATGGCTCAGAGGTTAAGAGCATCAACTGTTCTTCCAAAGGTCCTGAGTTCAATTCCCAGCAACCACATGGTGGCTCACAACCATCCGTTATGAGATCTGGTGCCCTCTTCTGGTGTGCAGATATACATGGAAGCAGAATGCTGTATACATAATAAATAAATAAAATCTTTAAAAAAAAAAGAAAGAAAGAAAGAAAGAAAGAAAGAAAACCAAACAAAAACAAATTATAGGGGCTGGTATGATGGCTCAGTGGGTAAAGGCACAGACACTGGCTGTGCAAGTGTCACCTGAGCTCAAGCTCCCAAATCCACAGAAAGGTGAAGGAGAGAACTAACTCTACAAAATTGTTCTCTGACCTCCACACACATACATGAGTGTGTACACCACCACACCCAGCAACACACACACACACACATCATATACACAATTCTAATTAAAAATAAAGGAATGAATGCACTAAATAAAAGAATGCACTGTCCCCAAACATATGATAATAAATGTAAAGATCTTACATTGGCTTTATTTGAGATTTTAGAACCAGACCACACTTCCTCCTGTCAAACAAAATGATTTGTTTGGAGAACCTGAGTAACGGGAAAGAATGAGAAAAGGACCATGGCAAAGTGACTTTTCTTGCCTGGCACGACAGGGAGACAGGGAGACAGGAAATAACTGGTTAAGATCAGGTTGCCTCAGGTGAGTTTTTTGTAAGGAGGAAAGCAAGGGACTTCATTACCATGAGGCTCCAGAGCGTTGGCTCTTACCTGCCTTGGTTTCTTGGGAGGTCAGATTACAACTGAATTTCTGTAGGTCACTGTGCAGCTTTGTTAAGAGGAATCTGTTTTTCTTGTAGGCTGGGGCACTGGGGCCTATACCAGGAGCTCAGTCTGTGACAATACCAGCCACCTGCAGCCAGTAGCCACCCATGAGGGGAGGGGGAGTCACACTGCACACCTACCTCTCAAGAACCAGAAGGCTCCTCAGCAGCACAAAAGACAAGACTATAAGAGGCCATCTATCCCGGCAGAAGAAGGACTGTGATTTCCCAGTGGCCATCAGCGACATTAAGTACAACCTCCAGACCAGGCCCTCCTGCCCATGGATGAACCACAGAGGTAGATTTATCATTCTGGAGACCAGGCTGGCCTCGAACTCACAGAGATCTGCCTGCCTCTGCCTCCCGAGTGCTGGGATTAAAGGCGTGTGCCACCAACGCCTGGCTAGATGTATCATTATGTTGTTTGAAGTCAAGCCTGGTGTCTGCAGCCCAAGTGACTGGACACCTGTCCCCACAAGTGACTGGACACCTGTCCCCACAAACAAATGAAGGTGACCTAATCAAATCTCTACCATAGGCTAAACAAATGAAGGTGACCTCCTCACCTGGCCAGGACTGGGAAGGCCAGTGTTCAAGGTGGCCTCAGATGTCACCTCTTCCCAGCTCCTTTGGGAGGACTCTGGCACCCAGGAAAGAGTTTGATGTCTGTAATAGTGCACCTGCTGTGAGCCCAGAAAGAGACTAGGAGCCAGGACAGAGACTCAGGACAAGAGAGGATGGGGTTTCACCGACAAAGAAAATGGAGGGATTTGATTTTCATCGGAGCAGCTTCAGACAGTGATGAGAGTCCTCTGAAAAAGGAGGAACAGGGACAAAAGAGATGGTCACCCAGCAGCCAGGAGCCAGGGCTGTGGACACACCAGGCAGTACTCATATATATATCATAAGCCCTGTGATCTAGCACCCACTTTCAAGTTATGGTCACAGCAATGTAAGCTCTTTCTGTCCTTCAAGATCATTGGAAAGTTAGACACACACACACACACACACACACACACACACACCACTTGTGCCTCTGGGTGAGGTCGTGAGGGGGTGGATTTTGAAATAAAGAAAGAAGGCGGCTAGGTTGGCAAATAGAAATGATGAAACTGTTAAGATGGTTGCCTAGACAAAAGTAGAAGTCCAGGGCCAGAATGGCTGGGGAAACGTAGCCCGACACACACTCTGTGTGTCTGAAATCTGGGGGAAACGTCTAGACTTTCCACAAAGTGCGGTCAAAGATATGACACAATCTTACTGAGGTATTGAGGAGTGGGGACCCCAGGCTAGTGCCTGCTGGGAGGTTCATTTTGTTTCATTTGTAATTGGCATGGTGCCAATTGAACCCAGAGCCTTGTACATGCTAGGAAATGCTCTACCGCTGGAGTACATTGCTAGCCTTTGGTTAGGTTCCCCCACCTGCCGAGACAGAATCTCCCAAAAAAAAAAAAAAAAAAGAAAGAAAGAAAGAAAGAAAGAAAGAAAGAAAGAAAGAAGGAAGGAACATAAGGCACACAGTTTCTCTAATTGCCCTTCCACTGGTTGGGGCACACTGGTTCATGGGTATACCACTGCACACCACGGCAAGTTGAAATATCTCCACCTTTACACTCAGAGAAACAAGCTCTTGGTGTGTCCACATGCTTCCGATGGCAAACTATGTGACAAGTCTAATGGACGAAAGTGACTAAAACACAGAGGTGCCCTAAGAGAGCCTACTCCTCAGATAAGGGGCAGAGGTCACTGGTGGCCAGGGTAGGAACCCAGACCCTCCTGCCCACCCAAAGCACTGGAGGACACAGACACACAGTCAGCAGGGGTTCTCCATCCCCATGAATTCCTTTGGCTTTGTAGAACCAAATCCCCGCCTATCTCCTCAGACAGCTCTCATTAAAATATCACTTCAGACTCCATTTCGTTGTTGTTATTGTTTCAGATATCATACTGTAACTCAGACTGGTCTAGAACTCACTGTGTAGCCAATCGGTCCTCAAACTCAAGGCAATCCTCCTGCCTCTGCCTCCTGAGTGGTAGGAAACTGGAAATGCTTTTTATCTACATCAGGAAGTAGGGACTTGCTGTCAGCTGAGAATGATCAAGGGGACAGAGGTCAGGGACATCATTTAGGTTGTGACTGCCTAGGGCCTGAGGACTTACAAAAGAGAGCTCCTCAACGTGCCCATAGTCCCTCCTTTCAACACCTCCAGAAAATATTCTTATCATCCCTCATTGTGATGCAGGAACTAAAACAAGAACAGGCCTTGGAGCTTCTTAGTGAGAACTCAGCCTTAGAACTGCCCTTTCAACTGGATCTGAGATGTCCCCCAAGGGCCTATGGATTACAGGCCTGGTCTCCAACACCTGGAGCTAAGATGGGCTCTTTAGGAGGCAGAACCCAACAGGAGGAAGTTAGGTCATTAGGGATAGACTCTTGAAGAGGATGTTGGGACCACAACCAATGTCCTCTTGTTCCTCTCTCTTTGCTTTTTTTTTTTTTTTTTTTTTTTTTTTTTTTTTTGAAAAAGGTTTTTTTTGTGTAGTTTGGGAGCCTCCCCGGCCCCTCGCTCGGGAGCCCAGGCGGCCTTTGAATTCACAGAGCCCCCCCTGCCTCTGCCTCCCGAGGGCTGGGATTAAAGGCGTGTACCACCAACGCGGGCTTCTCTTTACTTCTTAACTATCACAAGGTGAACACCCCCACTACGATGCACCACTACAGACCCAATACGTCAGAACCAGGACCTGAGAAGAAACCTACAAAAACATCTGCCAAATTAAATGTGTCCTCCTTTAAGCTGTTCATTCCAGGTATTTTGTCACAACATGGAAAGCTGACTAACAAAGGCAGCCGCGGTGAGATACATAAGCACACATGAATAGGAATGATAAATAGGAATGCTAAACCTCCCAAAGGGTCCTGGCCTCTGCTGCCCCTCCGGCCCCCTCCCAGGAAGGAGCAAAGGAATGTGGAGGAGAAGGACAACTAATCCTCCATAACTACAAAGGGGGGGGGGGAGGCCACAGAACAGTGAGAATAGAGTGCTAAGATTTGTGTGCAAAATGGGAAGAATGGGACAGAGTGTGAACATGATTGTGTTTGCTTAGATGGAAGGATGCTTCCAAAATCTGTAAAGACGGTTGCCTCTAGGGAGACAGCCTGCCAGAAGGGACGGAAGGAGGCGTTCCAGCGTGTTCCCTTCTGGGCCTTTTGGAAACAGCTAAAGAAGGAAATGTGGAGGGTTGGCACATAGCTCAGTGTCGGGCATTTGCCTAGAGGGCCCTGGGTTCTGTCCTTAGCATTAGAGAAAGAAAAAAAAAAAAAGAGTAAATACAAAATGCACACAAGTTGCTTGATGCTACAAGCAACAAACTCCTTAAGACATCCCACAATGGAGGTCTAAAAGGAGTAAATTCGTGTGTGTGTGTGTGTGTGTGTGTGTATGTGTGTGTGTGTGTATTTGTATTATTGGTAATCAAACCCAGATCTCATGCATGCCAGACAAGTGTTCCCTCACTGAACTACACCATAAGGGGACTTTTTTCAAGGGAATCACAGAATAAAGACTTGGGGGCTCAGGGTAAGGATCGCAGAATTCCTTGGAGACAGTCGCCCTTCTAGTAGGTGGCCTTTGTGTTCCTTTTTTGTAATGTTCCTGCCCTTTGCCAAGAGGCCTAGCTCGAGACTACTCTCCTGTCTGGTCACATCTCTGGCCACCAAAGCTGTATCATGGTTCTGTCAGCCTGTGGTGAGATTGCCTTTGGGCTAGTATCCAATCCCGTAAAAGCAACCAGATATGGGGTCAGGACAGGAAGAAGCAGGCCTTAGAGACAGTTGCCAAGGGCCTGCAAAGCTTCTCTCAAAAGGGACTAGAGGCAGAGTAGTCACATGGCACACAAACCCCAGGACACCAGGGACTCAGGAGCCTGTGTTTACCTTCCCAGGCCTCACCTAACCTGGAACACTGCCTCTCCTAAGTGTGTTCTTGTATACAGAGGCCAGGATACAATGGACTGTGATCTTTGTTCCAAAGAAGAAGGTCCACAGTCAGAAACCCTTAGCTGCAAAGGCCCGTGTCCTTCTCCTGATCTCTGCTCTGGTCCTTTGCCAGAACTCTAGCAGCCGTGAAAATTTTGGCAGTTTGGGGTGATCTATACACACATACACACACACACACACACACACACACAGAGAGAGAGAGAGAGAGAGAGAGAGAGAGAGAGAGAGAGAGAAATCACAGTAAGCACATGGGTTCCCAAATCAAAAGTCCTGGATTTTCTACCCATGCCACTCATTAGCCTATGACTTTAGGCAAGACATTGAACTTCATAGAAACTCAGTATCTTTATTGACGAGGGAAACATGATACCTAATTCTTCAAACTACTCAGAGGATTTTTTTTTAAATATGCATGACAATAGGGCAGGTCAAGACAGTGCAAAGGCTCCTCCATCTTATATTCTTTCTGGGGCCATTTTAGGTTTAGCTAGAATTTGATCTCCTTGATGTAAAGTTCAGGGGAAAACTACCCGACTCTATTCTGAGAACTGAGATCAAGATGCCCCAGCTAACCAACTTAGCTTCTGTTAAACTCCTTGCTTGCACAAAACCTCCCTGTCCAGCTGCTGAGCCTGACTGACACCAGGATGTGGTTATTGTCTTTTAAATCTGCTTACTCTAAACACTTGCGCTTGTGTCCGGAATACCTGAGAATAGCCCCGGCCAGCTGGAATATGGACTTGTGTAAACTGTGTCTGAGCGCTCATCTCTGGTGAGCTCCCATAACACTAAAGCCAGCCCACTAGTTGCAAATAGTCGGGCTCTGATCCATGGCTCCCATGCATGCTATGCAAATGTTTGCGACAAAGCCACATCCCTCCTCAGTTCCCTTTTCTGACAGTCACACACTGATCGCTATCCCCACCTATTACTTCAGACTCTTTGGTCATAAGTCACAGTACACCCTCTTCTGACTGGCCAGTGTGAGAACTGAAATGCTCAGGCTTTATTTTTGTAAAGTGTGAGTGTGTCGTGTATATGGGTGTGTATATGTGCACATGCATGTGTGTGTGTGTGTGTGTGTGTGTGTGTGTATGTGTTGCTGTGTGTGGGTGTGTGAGTGTGCAGGTATGGGCACACATGGGTGAGAATGCATGCAGAGGCCAGAAGACAACCTTGGGTGTCATCCTCAGAAATGCTACTCACTTCCTCTAAGGAAACATCTCTCCTGGCTGGAGAAATGGCTCAGTGGTTAAGGGCACGGGCTTCTCTTTCAGAAGACCCGGGTTCAATTCCCAGCACCCACATGGCAGCTCCCAGCTGTCTATAACTCCTGTTCCAGGGGATCTGATACCCTCACACAGACATATATGCAGGTGAAACATCAATGTAAATAAAATACAAATAAATAAAAAAGAAAAGAAAACATCTCTCATTGGCTGGCCATGGAAGCCTAGGATTCCTTTTATCCCTGCTTCCTCCAGTGAGGTGTGGCTGGCCTTGGATTATTATCAGCTCTGATGGCCTCAGTGTCAGGTATATTTTGAGATGCATTTTTCCCCGCCTTTACGTCACTAGATACCTCGTAAGCACCGTAAGCACTGTAAGCACCAAGTGTCTCTCGGTCAGGTCACATGATGGGCATGGAAAAACATTAGTGAACAGGACAGACCAGCTCCTTGTCCTTCCGCCTGATAAAGGAGGAGGAAGACAAACCGGATTAATACTAACAATGCGGGCTTGGGTGTGGCTCAGTAGAGCACTTTCCTAGCACGTGCAAAGCCCCAGGCTTCATCCTCATTACCACAAAAAATAATAACAGTGCACCAGAACATCACATAGTATGTGAGGAGGTGATAAATCCCATGAAAAATAAACTAGAGTCAATTAAAAGTATCCAAAGTGCCCTTGTGGCAGTACAGCATCAAAGCGACTCTCGGAGGAAGGCACCAAAGCAGGAGAGGGATCCTCATTGCAGACGGCAGAAGAGGACGTTCCTGGCATAGAAAGCATAGGGTACCAGTGTGTTCAGAAAACAAGATGATCATCTGGGTGGACAGGGAGAAAGACAAGAACCAGAAGAGTCAGAGCTACACCTGGTGGGTGGGTGGTGCAGCCTACATGGCCACTTGGGAGGCAGAAGCAGAAGGCCTATAAGTTCAAGGGCAGCCTGGGCAATTTTTTCTCAAAAAAAAAAGTAAATATATATATATATATATATATATATATATATATATATTGTTTTTCGAGACAGGGTTTCTCTGTGGCTTTGGAGGCTGTCCTGGAACTAGCTCTTGTAGACCAGGCTGGTCTGGAACTCACAAAAATCCACCTGCCTCTGCCTCCCAAGTGCTGGGACTAAAGGTGTGTGCGACCACCGCCTGGCTCTCAAAATAATTTTTAAGGGGGAGAGGTCTATGGTGATAGCTCTTCTGGTAAAGCTGGGGCCTTGCAAGCACCAAGACATGGATTCGATCCCCAGAACCCATGTAAAAAAGCCCAGATGGGATGCTTGGTTTCTCCTACTGTATGCTCATATCACTCTATAACCCTAAAATGTGTGGGGATTTCTCCCACTAGGAGGAAAGTCATTCTGGAACAGACAACAGTGGTGTACTCTGATCACTCAGTTCTAACACTGACTACCCAGAGATAACATCAAACCTCACAGGTTGAGGGTCCTCTTCAAAACTGTTCCCCTTGCACACAGGTTAGAAGGTCAAGATTAAGTCCCAGGTTGTCTCAGCACCTCTGACCCATGGACTATAAGCCAAGGTTTCCACAAACCCTCCTTGAGTTCAATCACTTTGCTTCTGTGTCCACCTGGGGCAACACTTACTGGATTAATATAAGGGCTTCTTTTTTTTTTTTTTTTTTCCCCAAGTCAGAGTTTCTCTGTAGCTTTGGAACTAGCTCTTGCAGATCAGGCTGGTCCGAACTCACAGAGATCCGCCTGCCTCCTGAGTACTGGGATCAAAGGCGTGCACCACCAACACCTGACAGTATAAAGGATTCTTTTTTTTTTTTAATTTATTTATTAGTTCTAGTTAGGGAACAAGCTTGTTTCACAGTATAAAGGATTCTTACAAAGGATGTAGACCAGAGTCACGGGACAAGGAAAGGAAAAAATGGCCAAAGCATCTGTTATAGATGAGGATCTAAGTCTAGAGGGCAGACTTTATTTATTTATTTATTTATTTATTTATTATGTATACAGTGTTCTGCCTGCATGCCAGAAGAGAGCACCAGATATCATTATAGATGGTTGTGAGCCACAATGTGGTTGCTGGGAATTGAACTCACCAGAACCTCTGGAAAAGCAGCCAATGCTCTTAACCTCTGAGCCATATATATCTCCAGCCCCAACACAGCAACTCTTATAAAGGAAAGCATTTAATTGGGGCTGGCTTACAGTTTCAGAGATTTAGTCCATGGGATCATGGGATTTTCTCAGAGCATGCTCCCCGGGTTGAATGAAGTGCCCGTGGACTAAGGGCTGCCACTCTTCCCATTGCCGCCCTAGGTTAATCTCTGGGTCTCCCTCCGCCCTGTCTCACTTTCTTGTACCACCCTCCAGAAACTCCCAAATGCTCCCCGAGTCCCATCTTCCTGAGTGTTCAGGGAGTGTCATGCACATATGGTCACATACACAGATGGACAGGATTGTACCTTTCCATCACATCTGAGCTTATTGAATAATGACAAATTCTAACCCAGCCTCCATCTTTCTGGTGGTCGCACCCAACCTACCTTGGAACCCGCCAATAGACATTTCATTAGCATACAAAAGGGTACCATCCATTTCAGAGAGTCCTAAGAGCCAGGGAACTGAGATGAAGACCAAACATATATATTGCAAAATCATACACATTTACAAGTGAGTTAAGGTTCTCCAAAGAAACTAAGTCCTCTCTAATGATGCTACAGACTGTTAGAACCTGACTAATTAGAATGTGCCTGATCATGGCGAGAAGGAATTGAAGGTGGAGA